ACAGCGCCGGCCGGCCGCGCGCCAGGCCCAGCAGCGAGCTGTTGCGCGCGTAGGCGGCGAACACGGCGGGGCTCAGGCAGCACGTGCCCAGCAGGTCGGTGGCCGCCAGCCCGGTGACCAGCACGGCGAAGGCCGAGGGCCGCGCCCGCGCGCGCCGCCGCGCGCCCAGGATGCCCAGCGCCAGCGCGTTGCCCGCCACGCCCGCCACGAACATGAGGGCGCTGGTGGCCGGGCCCACCGAGTCCCGCACGTACGTGAGGTTCCGGCACGAGTCCGCCATCCCCCGGCCGTGCCAGCCGGCGCCTGGGCTGCGGGGCCCCGGGGGCGGGAGGCGGCGGGGGGAGAGCCGGTGCAGACACTCAGCGATCCAGCGCCTGCCTCCCCATGGGCCTCCCCGTCCGGGGTCTCCCAGTCGCCCCCAGAGGTCCCCCAGTCACCCCCAGGGGTCTCCCAGTCACCCCCAGACTCCCTGCGGGCCCGGCTGTCTCTGCTCTGGCTCTGCTCTGTCTTCTGCAGGCTCTCTCTCTCTCTCCCTCTCTCTCCTGTCTCTTTCCTTCTCTGTTTCCTCTTTTCCTCTCCTCTTTCCCTCTGTCCCTCTGTCTCTCTGTGTCTTGCTGTCTGTCTCTGTCCCCCCCCTTGCCCACACCCGCTGCCTCGCCCTCCTTCTCTCTCTCCCGGCTCCCACAGCTCTCTACCTGCTTCTCCTCATCTCTGCTCTTGCAGCCCCTGCTCACCGCACCTCTGCCGGCTCTCTCTGTCCCTCCTCTGTCCCCTCGCCCGCCGGGGCCCGGGATGGCTGTCTGTGAGGTCTCTGCGTGTGTGTCAGCTTCTCCCTCCTGCCCTCCCTCCTCCTCCCTCCCTCCCTCCTCCTCATTGTGCCTGCTCGCCCCAGCTTTTTCATTTCCTCTCGCTGCCCCGCCTTCCCTCCCCCCTGCTTTCTCCAGAAGAGGCCCCCCCTCCCCAGGCTCTCTCCCGCCCGCCCTGGCATGCTCCCTCCGTCACCCCTCTGGCCAGCACATCCACCTCCGGCCCTGCCCCCTCCCCGGTCCCCATCACCGAGCCACCTGCCACCGCTGCCCGCTGCCCGCTGCCCGCAGGTCGCTGCCCTCCGGGCCCAGGGCGGGGTCCCTGGTGGTGACACACGGAGCGCGGACTCACCGGGGACCGGGCGGCCTGGGAGCACAGTGGCCAGTGCGCAGGGCTGTTGGGGTGGCTCCTGGGATCTATTTTGGGCTCCAGGGTTAGGATTGAGAAACGACCAGGAAATTCCTGCCCGATGCAGTGTTTTCCAGGCACTTCTGAGATCTCTATTCCCTGGATACAGCTCTCCGCTCCATCCAGGAGGAGCCGGGAGAAACGCCGGTCCCTGGAGCCGTCCTCAGGCTGGGCTCCCGCTCCGGCTCCTGCTCACGCCCAGAGCCCAGAGCCCAGAGCCCTGGGAAGAGAGGACACGCCCTCCAGCCCTCAGGCCCTCCTGCTCCGCACCTGAGCCGTCAGGCCCCCGTCCAAGCGACCTTGACCTCCAGGGACAACATTCTGGCCACAGACAGCCGCCCAAGCCTCCACCTTCGGGGTCACACTGATCTCTCCCGCCCGCCCCGCCCCAAACTCAGACCAGCTGTCGCCACCCCGGGCCAAAATGCTCCCCTCCTGTGTCCCAGCCGCCTGTCCAGCTCCCACTGAGCCAGCGCTCCCAGGCCATCACCCCCCTTCTGCCCCCCACAGGGCCAGATGGGACCTGGGAGACCCTCTCAGACACCCCTTATCTTTCAGGGGCCACTTTCAGGATAGAGATTCTTTTTTAAAATGTATATATATTATTGATTTTTTTACAGAGAGGAAGGGAGAGGGATAGAGAGTTAGAAACATCTATGAGAGAGAAACATCAGTCAGCCGCCTCCTGCACACCTCCACCTGGGGATGTGCCCGCAACCAACGTACATGCCCTTGCCCGGAATCGAACCCGGGACCCTTCAGTCTGCAGGCCGATGCTCTAGTCTATCCACTGAGCCAAACCGGTTTGGGCAGGATAGAGATTACCAACTCGGGGTCTCACTCCATCTGTCTCGAGTTTCTGTCCCAGTGTGACCACCTCCTTGCTTTGCGATGGTCTGAGGCAGGAATGGGAGCTGGAGTGCCTCAGTTTCCTCATCCGTACAAGGGGTGGCAGCCGCTCCGAGGCCCGGCAGTCACCTGGGCCCGTCCCAGCGCCTGTGCGGGTGTCCGTCCATCCGGCGGGAGCGACAGCCCTGCCCAGAGACAGCAGGCTCCCCCTCCGGCCCAGGTCCCCCTCCGGCCCAGGTCCCCAGAAGCCCTGGCTCCTATCGCCGCGCCCAGCTGGCACCCAGCTTCCTGAGGACGGTGCCCCAGCTCCGGCCACCCAGGCCCGCAGGAGCGCCGCACACTCACACACATGTGTGCGCCATCAGACCTCCAGCCTGTCCCTCCCGCCCAGGCCCTGCGGGGCCGGCAGAGCAGAGGGAGCGGAGGTTTATCACATTAATGAGGGGGACGCCTGGCAGGCTGCATCCGCCGCAGCATCTGGGGGGGGGGGGCTCTGGTTCCCGGAGCCGCCCTCTCCTGGCTTCCTGTCCCCGCCCCCGGGGACCAGGGCGCGCTCAGGGCTGCAGTGTTTCCCTGCCCAGTGCCGCCTCAGGCAAGCCCGCCCCCCTCCAGGCCTCAGTTTCCCCTCTGCGCCAAGGGGGCTGGAACCCGGCATGGGCTGGGGGGGGGGGCGGGGGGGGCGGCCGGGGCTGGAGCCCATTCCTCGAGAGAGGAGTCGGGGTCCCGGTCCGCGCCCGCCCCGCCCTGCGGGGCACACCTCCGGGCCCAGGGCCTCCTCCGGCTGCGGCTGCGGTTCCTCTTCCTCAGGTGCCTGTGGGGCAGAGGTCTCCCCGGGGCCCGCGGGGGAGGACGGGGCGGTTTCCGGGGTGGGGAGGGGCCCTGTGGGGAGGAACGGCTTCGGGGGGGTGAGTCAGCAGCTCCCCTCACCCACCCTGTTAGGAGCAGGGCCCCCGGGACCGGGCAGCGGGCAGCAGGACCCCTGGACACGGACACACAGCTGGGGGGGCGCCCAGAGGCGTGTGCTGGGGCCATGGCATGTGACCGGCATATGTGGGGCATTATTCTCCCCAAGGCCCGTTTGCGCATCTGTGAGAGCTGTCTACTGTGTGTGTGTGTGTGCATGAGTGTGTGTGTGAGTGTGAGTGTGTGAGTGTGTGTGTGAGTGTGTGTGTGATTGTGTGTGTGTGAGTGTGTGTGTGTGTGAGTGTGTGTGAGTATGTGTGTGTGAGTGTGTGTGTGAGTGTATGTGAGCGTGTGTGTGTGTGCGTGTGTGTGAGTGTGAGTGTGTGTGCATGTGTGAGTGAGTGTGTGTGAGTGTGTGTGCATGTGTGAGTGTGTGAGTGTGTGTGAGTGTGTGTGTGAGTGTGAGTGTGTGAGTGTGAGTGTGTGTGTGAGTGTGTGTGCATGAGTGTGTGTGTGTGTATGTGTGTGAGTGTGTGTGAGTGTGTGTGAGTGTGTGAGTGTGTGTGTGTGTATGTGTGTGTGTGTGAGTGTGAGTATGTGTGTGAGTGTGTGTGAGTGTGTGTGTGTGTGAGTGTGAGTGTGTGTATATGTATGTGTGAGTGTGTATATGTGTGCGTGAGTGTGTGTGTGAGTGTGTGAGTGAGTGTGAGTGTATGTGTGTGTGTGAGTGTGTGAGTGTGAGTGTGTGTGTGTGAGTGTGTGTGTGTGTGTATGTGAGCGTGTGTGAGTGTGTGAGTGTGAGTGTGAGTGTGTGTAGCTCACATCCACCACCAGCACAGGGTGAGGCTGGGAGGTGACTCCCCGCTGGGCCTTGGTGTCCATCGGGTGGCACTTGCCCCTGGCGGCTGCTCTCGGCCGCTGTGGAGAGGGAACCCTCCGGCCTCAGGAAGCCCCCGAAGCCTCTGGAGCTGTCACTCGGCGCACGCTCCCGCCTGCTGTGCGAGGGCTGGGCGCGGGCCCGGAGGACAGCCTCTGGGGGGCACGGGGGGGCACTGTAATTACAGCCCCCCCACCCGGCTCTGGGGCACCTCGGGGGCCAGCGTCCTCAGGGCGAGTGCCAAGCCGCTGGCCAGGCGCCTCTGCTCGCTGCTGCCCGGCTTCCCGCTGCCCGGAGAGGCCCTGACCGGTCCCTCCCGGCAGGTGGGGCACCGCAGCCCACCCCCTTTCTCCACCGCCGGCCCCGGCCACCTGTCTGCTCCTGTTCCAGGGCTTCTGCTCTGTGTCCTGGGCGTCCCCTCCCCTGGGACCCCTTTCCCTGGCCCTTCAGCCCCCCGCCCCCTGGGCTCAGCCGCTCCCAATCCCACTGCACCTCCAGCCCCGCGGGCCGCTGTGGCCTGGTGCGGAGGAGGAGCAGAGTCCCCGCCCGGAGCTTTCGGTGAGACGGAGCCTGAGGCAGCACTCCCAGGAGGCGCTGGCCACGCGGTGGCTCCCGGTGCCCCTAGGTGGGGTGCGGGCCACACACTGCTCTGAGCACTGGGGGTGCGGGTGCAGGGCGGGAGGAGAGGCAGCCTGGGGGGTGGGGGCAGCCAGCACCCCTGGGGTTTGGAGCCGGCGGGAGGGTCCTTCTGAGAGCAGGCACGTCCCCAGGCGTCCACCTCCCTGCCCTCGGCCAGGCCCTGGCCCCGGAGCGACCTCCCAGCCGGGTGTCAGGACAGAGCGGCGGCTGTCACAGCGTCATACCCGCTGACGAGGTTACCCGGGTGTGTGCGCACGCAGGCTGGTCACCAGGGAGCTGCCCTGTCCCTCTGGCCTCTCCCTCCGCCCTCAGTCCCGACAGACTCACCCCCGCTTCCTGCCCCTTCCCTTCCCGCTCCGGGGGGACCCCTCCTCCCTGCCTCCCACCCCCAGGTCAGCCAGCCCTGCTCGCCCCTCCTCAGCTTCCCTTCCCACCACCTGGAGTTTGAAACAGGAAGCTCCCAGATCTCAGGGCCGAGAAGGTTAACTCCCAACCGTGTAGGTGCAAAGAATGCTTACACTCGCAGGAACCGGTGTGGCTCAGTGGATAGAGCGTCGGCCTGCGGACTGAAGGGTCGCAGGTTCGATTCCGGTCAAGGGCATGTGCCTTGGTTTCGGGCGCATCCCCAGTGGGGCATGTGCAGGAGGCAGCTGGTCGGATGATTCTCTCTCATCGAGAGTTTCTAACTCTCTATCCCTCTCTCTTCCTTTCTATAAAAATTCAATAAAATACATTTAAAAAGAATGCTTACACTCTTAAAGTGCTGGAGGACAGGGAACGGGACCCCCAAAATCCAGCCAGACGCCACAGGATGGGGACCCTGGGGAACCCCAGCCCTCCAGAGTCCCTGGATGACAGATTCCTGTGCATTTCCGGTTCCAAGATGCACGGATTCCGGAATCCTTCTGGCAACTTCCATCCCAGCATCCCTGCCAGCCCCTCCCCACCCCCAGCTCCTCCTTGGCTCTCCTGTCCCCTGCGTGTGTCCCCCGGGGCTCCCACAGACATGACGCAACCCGCTGGAAGGCAGGAGGCGGGAGGAGATGTAATTACAGCCTGGCCTCCCTCCATTCCTCAGGAAGCTCAGAGTCCGGGCCCAGGGGACCCCAATCCGATGTGAATAATGAAACACTTGCCAGACTCATGCACACCACCCCCCTCTGGAGAGAGGATGCTCAGTGAGCTATCCATCTCCGTCCGGACCCAGGGGTCCAGCCTCACGCTGGGGAGCAGAGGCTGCAGTGGGGCGGAGGGATATGCTCAGGGGGGCAGGTGTGGGGGCCTGGAGGGCAGAGGCGAGGGGCTGGGGGGGATTCCAGGTGAGGGGCACAGCCCAGATAAAGGCAGGGGAGGGGCACAGAGCAGGAGGCCCTGGGACAGTGGCCAGAACCAGGGAGTTGCTCGGAGACTAAGGTGACCCGATGTCCCGCTTTTTTAAAAAATCGGGACTGCCCCGCCAAAGCGGGACATAGGGTCACCTTATCCAAGACCCATTTAGGGTGGCAGAGAGGAGGTGGGGTGAGGAGAGGGGAGGGGGTCTTGGGCCAACCAGGTAAAACAATTAACCAAACCCACAGCTAGCCTGCATTTCCTCATTTTCTTTTCTTTTCTTTTAATATATTTTATTGATTTTTTTTACAGAGAGGGATAGCGAGTTAGAAATATCGATGAGAGAGAATCATCGATCAGCTGCCTTTAGCTGCCTCGTGCACACACCCCCACTGGGGATGTGCCCGCAACCAAGGTACATGCCCTTGGCCGGAATCGAACCCGGGACCTGCCAGTCCACAAGTCCAAACGCTCTATCCACTGAGCCAAACCGGTTTCGGCCACTTCCTCATCTTCAACAGACACTTGAGCTTTCTCTTCGTCCCACGAAGCAGCCCCTGACCCAGGATCCGTGTCAAAGCGCCACTGTGCCTCCACCTCCTGGACCAGAGACAGAAGGGCAGGGCGGGGACTTACTGAGCGGAAAGCCCCGTCCCAGCTCACAGCCTACGGTCTCCGGGGGGTTGTGAGTGTCTGAGACCACAGATCTTCCTGCTCCCAAGGAGCCGGGAATAGAGACTCTTGTGCGAGTACTCTGTTTTCCAATTTGGCAATCAAGTCAAGAACATTTTATTGATTTTTTTTTTTTTTAAGAGAGAGAAAAAGGGAAAGGGAGACAGTACAGCGATGTGAGAGCCAAATATCGATCGGCTGCCTCCTGTGTGCCTCCTACCGAGAATCAAGCCCCAAACGCAGGCATGTGCCCTGACTGGGAATTGAACCTGCAGCCTTTTGGTGTACTGGACAATGCCCAGCCCACTAAGCCACACAGGCCGGCAAGAGCATGTAAAACATTTAGTAGGCCAGCCCTGCCGAAACCGGTTTGGCTCAGTGGATAGAGCCTGCGGACTGAAAGGTCCCGGGTTCGATTCTGGTCAAGGGCACGTACCTTGGTTGCGGGCACATCCCCAGTAGGGGGTGTGCAAGAGGCAGGTGGTCAATGATTCTCTCTCATCGATGTTTCTAACTCTCAATCCCTCTCAATTCTTCTCTGTGTAAAATCAATAAAATATATATTTTATAAAATAAAAAAAAAATAAAAAAGTAGGTCAGCCCTAGCCAGTTCGGCTCAATGGATAGAGCATCGGCCTGCGGACTGACTGGTCCCAGGTTTGATTCTGGTCAAGGACACATGCCCTAGTTGGGGGCTCAATCCCCAGAGGGGGACGGGCAGGAGGCAGTCGGTCAATGATTCTCTCTCACCATTCATTGATGTTTTTCTCTCTCTCCCTCTCCTTTCCTCTCTGAAATCAATAAAAATATATTTAAAAAATAAAATAAAATAAACATTAACATTATGGCCCTAACTGGTTTGGCTCAGTGGATAGAGCGTTGGCCTGTGAACTGAAAGGTCCCAGGTTCGATTCCCATCAAGGGCCCAGGCCCAGGTTATGGGCTCGATCCCCAGTTGGGGGCATGCAGGAGGCAGCCGATCCATCATGATTCTCTCTCATCATGGATGTTTCTATCTCTCTCTTCCTTCCTCTCTGAAATCAATTTTTAAAAAATAAACATTATGTAGGCCAAAAGTAGAAAAGCCAAATATATATATATATATATATATATATATATATATATATATATATATATAAACTGCCGGCTATATATGTCCCACCAATATGTGGTGTGGGAAACAGGGCAGACACGGGAGCTGTCACGCTGCCCTGTGTCCCTGGACAAAGAAAATGACTGTTGAAGGAAGGGATGTGCACGTTAGTGTGTCTCCTCCCTTTCGCCCACTCCTCTCTTCTCTGGTCCCCAAGTGTCATTACGGCCACGTCCCAGCTTCCTCCTCCAGGAAGCCCTCCCTGACCCCCACGCTGAGTCCGGGGCTCCCACTCACTCCCCACCCCAGCCCTGCCTACTGTCTGTCTCAGCCACTGGATTCTGAGCCCCCGGAGGCAGGGCCAGGCTGTCTTGGCCACAGCCATGTCCCCAGCAGGCAGGCAGGGAGTGTTTGGAAGAATGAACGCATGAATAAATGAATGAATGAATGGACAGAGTTCAGTGCTTATGGACAGAGACAGGCCTGGGGCGGGAAGTAGCCAAATGTGAAGAAAAAGGGTGAAACTATTCAGCGGTAAGAAAGGTGGGACGGGCACAGGGACTCCTCAGGATCTGCAACCCAGGAGGGAGAAGGGAGGGGGCAGCTGAGGCGCAGGGAGCCCAGTGTCCACCCCATTGCCTCCCAGCTGTGTGACTCTGAGCAAGAGACTGCCTTGGGCTCCGTTTCCTCCTGTAAAGAAGGTGGTACGAGGGCAGCCCGCTGCCTCTGGGACTCTGGGACCATCACATACATTCAGGGGTAGAGGAGGCTCCTTTCCTCCGAGCGCCCTCCGCACCCACACACCCGCCTGTGGTGTCCTCCCCCCACCCCGCCTCCACTCCGCACTCCGGACTGAGAAGGGAGCCCAAGCTCAGCGAGTGCCTCAGGTACCCATCAGCACGTTTATTGGCTCGGATTCCGGCACACAGAGGAAGCCGTGGGGAGGGAAGGCTCAGAGCAGGACGCAGAAGAGGCGCTTGTCGCGGAAGGGGTTCTCGGCGGCGGGGACCGGCGTCACCATCGGGTCGTCCTTGGCGTGCGTCTCGCAGAAGGCCAGGAGCTCGGCCGCCGCCTGCGACACCTGCAGGCACGCCGGGGAGTCCGCGCCCGGCCCCGCCCTCCCGGGCCCCGCCCTCCCGGGCCCCGCCCTCCCGGGCCCCGCCCTCCCGGGCCCCGCCCTCCCGGGCCCCGCCCTCCCGGGCCCCGCCCTCCCGGGCCCCGCCCTCCCGGGCCCCGCCCTCCCGGGCCCCGCCTCTGGCTGGTTCGCCCCATCCTTCAGGCCCCGCCCCTCTCGGGCCCCGCCTCTGCCTCATCCGGTCCTTCAGGGCCCGCCCCGCCCCCCAGGTCCCGCCCCTTGTCTAAGGTCCTTCCCATTGGGCCCCGCCCCTCAGGTCCTCCCCCGTCCTCCAGGCCCCACCCGCCCCTCAAGCCCCGCCCCTTGTCTAAGGTCCTTCCTCTCGGTCCCCGCCCCGCCCCTCCCCTCAGGTTCCTCCCCTTGCCTAAGGTCCCTCCCCTCGGGCCCCACCTCCGACCCGCCCCGTCATTCAGGCCCCGCCCCGTGTCTAAGGTCCTTCCTCATCTGACCCCGCCCCTTTCCCCAGGCCTGCCCCTCAGGCCCCGCCCTCAGGCCCCGCCCCGTCATTCAGGTCCTGCCCCTTTCCTCAGGCCCCGCCCCTCCTCGGGTCCAGCTCGGTTCAGAAAGGGATCTTACACACACACACACACACACACACACACACCCGCCCCGGACTCCTGGCCCCACCCCCAGCAGAGCTCGGAGCACACGCAGCCCGGCACCCCGCCTGCCTCCACCCTGGGCCCCGCACCTTCATGCGGTCGATGTTCACTTCCAGCTTCAGTTGCTCCACCGCCTTGCGGGCCTCGGCGATCTTGGCCATGTTGTTGGACATGGCTGGGCGGGCAAGGAGTCACAGGCCGGTGGGGATGGGGGCGCAGGGGGCAGACTAGGGCGGGGGGAGGCCCCGGGAAGGGCGGCGAAGTGCTGGGACCCAGCCACCGGGGCGTGGGTGGAAGGGCGCGGAGGGCACCCAGAGGCGGGCGGCCGGAGGGACGGGAAGGCAGGGGAAGTGAGAGAAGGGCCGCTGGGATGGGGGCTGGGAGGCAGGCGGAGGGAGGGCGGGGGAGGGAGGCAGCGGGGAGCACAGATGCGGGCGAGGCAGGTGGAGGGAGGGACGGAAGGACAGGGCCACAGGTGCTGGCGGCGACCCAGGTGTCCTCAGCCCCCAGGGGCCCAGCGAGCCCGGAGGGGGCCGCCCCAGGCCAATTAGCGGCGGTTCCAGGGAGAAGAGGAATTAAGATCTCGGCGGGAGGGGCGCGGAGGGGGCCTCATTAGGGCTGGGACGCAGCTGCCCCCTCCGCCCCCCTCGGGAGCTCCCCCACCCAGCCCTCTGCCTCAAAGGCTCCTCTGCTCATTAGCACATGGAGGGAGGGGGAGGGAGGAGGTGAGGACAGCCCAGACAGACTGGGAGAGGGGCAGAGAGGATGCAGAGAGGGGCAGAGGGAGAGACAAGTGACGGAGGGAGAGACTGAGGCACAGGAGACATAAAGGGACTGAGGGGGGAGAGAGATGGAGATGGGGAAGGATGGAGTGATGGACGGAGTTGGGGGGGGGACACATGGAGGAGTAAAGAAAGGGATAGAGTGACATGGGCGGTGGGAGGAGAGGGGTTGGAGAAGGAGGTGGAGTGATGGGGTGGGAGAGGATAGAGAGAGACACGTGGAGGGGGAGAGGAGGGGGCACAGAGAGAGGGGTAGGGAGAGGCATAGGAGGACCAGGGGACAGAGGAAGGGGGGACAGAAAGAGGGAGACGGGGGGGGGGGGGGTTGGGAGAGAGGCAGGCTGGTGGACACGCAGACATAGAAAGTCATTCATTCACTCTCATTCATTCCCAGGCGAACCGGCTGGCTGAGACGGGGCAGAGGGACGGGCTGTTGTTGGGGCAGGACCGGAGCCTCCTACCTGTTGTTGCTCAGGGCTGGGATGGCGGGCTGCTGGCGGAGGCAGGCTGACAGGCAGCTGTGGGTCCCCCAGCCCAGCCCCGCCCCGCCCCGCCCCGCCCCCTCCCCTGGGGCAGCCCCTGAGGACCTGCCTGCTCCTGCTGCTGCCACCTCCAGCCCCACTGCTCTCTCTCTGCCTGGGTCTGTCTGTCTCTGCAGGTTCTAGCTCTGTCTGTCTGTCTGTCCCCTCTTTGTCTCTTCCTCTCCCTCTCTCTCTCCGCCTCCCCCTCTCAACCTCTGTCTCTGCCTGTCTCTCACACTCACTCCTGGGAAGACAGCCTCTCCCGGGGTGCCCATACGCTGCTGCCCTGATTCTGCAGTCACATGCACCTCTCCCGTGTCCCACACGGCCTCTCCCTCCATCACGCATGCTCTCCCACCCTACCACCCCACTCCCTCGCGGTCCCCCCACCACAGCGACTCCTCTCGGCACACAGCCCCTGGCTCAGGGATGCACCGTGCCTCACTGTGTCACCCGGTGTCACCACAGATTCTCACAGATGGCCCATGCCCAACACCCCATCTCCCACAGTGCCCCAGGCCCGTGGTCTCAAAATGCCGCACACAGTCCATCCCTCGCAAGCTCTTGGAGAGGGGTCATCATCTCAACCACAATCAGATCCACCTTCTCAGGGTGAATGGCACAGTTTCACAGTGTTTCAGTATTTCAAGATGTCACACACACATTCACCAGCAACCAAAACTTCTCTTCTGCCCTCGCTGGTTTGGCTCAGTGGATAGAGCGTCAGCCTGTGGACTCAGGGTCCCAGGTTCGATTCCAGTCAAGGGCATGTACCTTGGTTGCGGGCACATCCCCAGTAAGGGAGCGTGCAGGAGGCAGCTGATCGATGTTTCTCTCTCATCAATGTTTCTAACTCCCTCTCGCTCTCCCTTCCTCTCTGTAAAAATAATCAATAAAAAATATTTTAAATATATTTTTATTGATTTCAGAGAGGAAGGGAGAGGGAGAGATTGAAACATCAATAATGTGAGAGAATCATTGGTTAGCGGCTGCCTCCTACACGCTCCCATACTGGGGATCAAGCCCAAAACCCAGGCATGTGCCCTTGGCCAGAATCGAACCCGGGACTCCTCAGTCCACAGGCTGACGCTCTACTCACTGAGCCAAACCAGCCAGGACTATATAGATATACAGATATATAGATATACACACATATATTTTAAAACACTTCTCTTCCATCCTATCTCAGCCTCACACTTTCTCTGTCTCACACAGTCACATGTAATTACTTGTGCAACCTCCTAGAGAAACACTATCACATAATATTTCATAGTATTACACAGTTACATCCAGCGACTCCCACACACAGTCCCATGCATTCTTGCACAATCTCTAAATGTTATCTTAAAACACACAATCTTACACGTTCCCTGACACACAGTCACCTCCCCCCACTGTCATGTACAGAATCTCTCACTGAGCCCCAAACAGTCTGTATCACACATGATTATCACCGTCACCCAGCAAGCTCCAGGGTTGCACACAAGGTCTCGCTCAGACTCTATCTTTTTAAAAAATATATATATTATTGATTTTTTACAGAGAGGAAGGGAGAGGGACAGAGGGTTAGAAACATCGATGAGCGAGAAACATCAATCAGCTGCCTCCTGCACACCCCCTACTGGGAATGTGCTCGCAACCAAGGTACATGCCCTTGACCGGAACCGAACCTGGGACCCTTGAGTCTGTAGGCCGACGCTCCATCCACTAAGCCAAACCGGTTTTGGCCAGACTCTATCTTTTCATTTAATTTTTTAAATTTTTGTTAATCCTCACCAGAGGATATTTTTCCCGTTGACTTTTATTTTTTATTTATTTTTTTAATATATTTTATTGATTTTGTACAGAGAGGAAGGGAGAGGGATAGAGAGTTAGAAACATCAATGAGAGAGAGTCATCAATCAGCTGCCTCTTGCACACCCCCTACTGGGGATGTGCCCGCAACCAAGGTACATGCCCTTGACCGGAATCGAACCCGGGGCCCTTCAGTCCCCAAGCTGACGCTCCATCCACTAAGCCAAACCGGTTTTGGCTAGACTCTATCTTTTAATTTAATTTTTAAAATTTTTGTCCATCCTCACCAGAGGATATTTTTCCCGTTGACTTTTAGAGAGGGTGAAAGGAAGGGGAAAGAGAGAAACATCGCTCTGAGAGAGACACAGGGAATGGTTGCCTCCCAAACACGCCCCGACCTGGGCAGAGGGAAGAACCTGCATGTGCTTTTCCAGGTGCGGGCCAACGCTCTAACCGCTGAGCCGCACCAGCCAGGCTCTCTCGTGCTCTGGTCTCTGAGGGCCCCGCACAGCCACACGCTCTCTCGTGCGCGGTCACCATGCTGTGCCAGTCTGCCAGGCTCCCACGTAGTCCGTGTCACGGTCACACACCGCCCTCCCAGCCCATCAGTGTGGCTGACACACGCTGTCTCCCACCCACGTGGCCTCTCTGTCACATGTAGGCCCCCGGGGCCTCTCACGCCGCCTCTGTGGACCGCACGCATCCAGAGGCACATCGTCTGCGGATAGGCCGCACACAGCACGCACTCCTCACCGGGCTGCACACTGCCACACACAGTCTCCCCCTCGCACACACGATCTCTCAGCACCACACGCAGTGTCCCCCCCACACACACCTTGGCACAGGCCACCTCCTGGTGCCACATGCCGTCACATGCACGTCCTCTCTCTCCTCTCACACGCACAGTCACATGTAACCTCCAGCTGGAACACACTGCTTCCGTCATACTCCCTATGCAGAGTTTCCCAAACTTCTGACATATGTGCACCCCTTCTATAATTTCCGTAACGCTGAGTACCCCTTGTCCTCATGAGAACGCAGAATTAGGCGCAGCTAAGCCCGGTGCAGTGCACATCCCCACCGAACTCCGGTGCAACGCGTACCCCCACCCAACTCTCCCCGTACCCCTGGGGATACGCGGACCGCACTTTGGGAGACACTGCTGGCATTGCACAAGGGCACAGAGCCACACACAACCTCTGGGCGCTCAGTCTCTCCGTGTCACACATCAGCCCTCTGTCCTCTCCTGCCAGTCCCCTGCCGGCCGCGTGGGGGCGCGCGCGGCCCGCCTCAAATCCGGAGGGCGCGGCGCCCGGCGGCCGGTTGGGGTGCGGACATTGGAGAACAGGAGACTTGGGAACGTGGAGGGAGGGGTCTCGAGGGAGGAAATGAAGGTGGGCTGGGACACGGAGGGAGAGGGTGAGAGATGGAAGGAGAGGCAGACCCGCAGGAAGACACAGAAACAGAGGAGAGAGAGAGACCCTGGCTGGGACTCCAGGAGACGGACAGGCAGAGGGCTGCAGAGAGAGACGGGCAGAGACACAGAGACGTGAGGGTACAAGAGAGATACCCAGACCGAAATGTAGACTCGGAGACGGGGAACAAGAGATGGACACTCTGCCCTAACCGGTGTGGCTCAGTGGATAGAGCAGTCAGCCTGCGGACTCAAGGGTCCCGGGTTCAATTCCGGTCAAGGGCATGTACCTTGGTTGCGGACACATCCCCAGTGGGGCGTGTGCAGGAGGCAGCTGGTGGATGTTTCTAACTCTCTATCCCTCTCCCTTCCTCTCTGTAAAAAAATCAATAAAATATATTTCAAAAAAGAGAGAGAGACCCAAACAGACAGCTGCAGCCAGAGAGGTGGACGCTCAGACGCGCCTTGCGCGGGCCGGGGCGGAGGCGGGGCCTGCAGAGGGGCGTCTCGGGGGCGGGGCTTGGCGGTTTGTGGGCGTGGCCTGAGGGCGAGCCCCGACCACACCAGCCGGCAGAGGGGCGGGGGCGGGGGCGGGGGCGGGGGCGGGGGCGGGGGCAGGGGTGGTGGCGGGGGACGGAGAGTGTCTATCGCAGTCAGCCCTGCCCAATTCGCTTTTTACCCGGGGGAGGGGACCACGGCTCTGATTCGTGGTGCGGCCATCGGCCATCGGATAGGGGGCGTCAGGCCTGGCTCCCCTCCCCCCCTGCTCCCCTCCTCCTACCCCCGTCCCCCTCTCCCTCCCCCTTCCCACCTTCCTCCCCTCTCCCCTCCCTTCCCCCCTCCCCCGTCCCCCTCCCCCCGTCCCCCTCCCCCTTCTCCTTCCTCCCTCCTCTCCCTCCTCCCCTCTCCCCTCCCCTCTCCCCTTCCTCTCCCCTCCCCACCTCCCCTCCTCTCCTCCCTCCTCCCTCCCCTCCTCCTCCCCTCTCCCCTCCTCCCTCCCCTCCCCAGCTCCCCTCCTCCCCTCCCTCCTGCTCCCCTCTCCCCCTCCCCTCCCCCCTCCTCCCCGGAGCCGGTGGGGGCGGGGGGCGGCCCACATCTGGAAAGCATCAGGCGCGCCGGACGTGCCAGGGCCCGGGCCGCGGCGGAAGGGGGGCGGGGAGCTGGGGCGCCCGGTCTCCCCGCTTCAGCGCGGTCCGCCGGCGCCGGGGAGGGGCCTGGGCGCGCGCCCGGCCTCCGCGCCCCGCGCAGCTGGTTTCCATCAGCCCCTCTGGCCCCCGCGGCCCCAAAGGAAGCCCAGCTCAGAGCGCGGGAGACAGGGTGACACCCCAGCCTCCCCTCTCCCTCCCCCGCCCCGCCGGCGGCCAGAGGCTGGGCCCGGAGACGGACACAGCCGGGGCCGGCGCGCCCTCCAGTGCCCGGCCCTCTCCGTACCCTGGGCGGGACCCGGTTTGTCGGGGCGCAGCCCTGCTCTGAGCTGCACAGGAAGAGCCCCAGTGTCCTGACAGACAACCGAGTTCCCCAGCAGTCTTAGTACTATTGCCCCATCTTTCGGACGAGGAAACTGAGACCCTGGCTTCTGATTCAGGTCTGGCTTTAATTATTCAAGAACCGTGCACTGGCCCTAACCGGCATGGCTCAGTGGATAGAGAATCAGCCTACGGACTGAAGGGTCCCAGGTTCGATTCCGGCCATGGGTTGCGGGCTCAGTCCCCAGTGGGGGGCGTGCAGGAGACAGCCGATCTCTGAAACTAATTTAAAAAAATATATTTTTTAAAAAAGAAAAGAAAAGAAAGATGCACTGATGCCCAAGATTT